TTAGAAAAAATTGATCAAACTAAATTAATGACTAGAAAACGAAACCAAAATTCAATAACGAAATTTAAACAAAGAAACAACACCAACAACGAAACTCACCTCCCCTCCTAATCCCCTGTTCCACCATTATTCACACCAATATACCTCCCCTGCTCCTCTCTATTACCCACGCAGCACCACTTCACGCCCCCACAGCGCCACCACCATTTCAACCACCATCCACCAAATACAACCAGCAGCTCGCCACCTCACCGCATCACCAGCTCCAACTCCCACGCATTCCGACACCCAATTAACAAAACCAAGTAGCTTAAACCATATTAAATAAAACAACAAAGGACTAACTAATGCATATTCATTACTCAATTAAAACTCAAATGTTGCTAAGTAAAATTGAAAAACACAACCAAAGTCATTAAGTTAAGACATACAAATCAGTAATCCTTAGCTTTACCTCAATCAAAAATCGATTATCAATTATGTACAATTGATACTTACCTTCTTCGTTCGTCGTTAACATGTTGAAGAATGAGTTTAACAACCCAAATTACATCCTCTTCTCTACAACCACTCACAAAATTCACCCAACCAACCACCGGAAACTCGCACCGCTACTTTGGCACCGTCATCGCATACACCGCCGCCACAATCGCCGCCGCAAGGTACATTCCACGAACATCCGTGAAATCTCATTGTTCTCGTACATCAAATCTATGACATCGCAACAAACCTCAATGCTCACCATCTCAGCAACCTTAGCCACCTCTTTAAGCTTCATCATCAATTCTTCAATCACCAAAAACACCGAATTCTTCATGGTTTTGACCTCAAAACTCAGGGATTGCAAAAGCAGGATTTCGACGTCTAAGAAATCGGTTTTTGTGAAATGCTGATCTTTGATGCGTTGATCACCGATTGATTTTAGGGTTTTGAGAAAAAAAAAGTGGGAGAATCGTAGGTTTTGTTGGAAATCCAGAGGAAGATGTGAGAGAATAGCTGCAATTGAGGGAAATTCATGGGTTTCTTAAGCAATGGTGATGAAGGAGGAGAGAGAAAATAACTTGCCAAATGAAGGAGAGAGAAAACGCTGATTTTTTTTTTTTTTGAAATTATGTTTGAGCGGGATTAATGGTAGCCATTGGGTGCAATTGATATATAAATATATATATATATATATATATATATTTGTTTGACAAGAATAGTGTTTTTAAAAGGGTCGAAATAAATCAATTAGATATTTTAATTGCCTAAACCCTCACCAAGTTTTTTTTAGTTTAGTATTTGTGGCCTCGTGGGTTAGACAATTGGTAAATAGGGGAAGATAAAACATTTTCATCCTCAAAGTGTCCTTAGTGAGGATTGAACCTCCAACCACAAGATTAGACGGTATAAGACCATGTTTAGCTTGGTATTTTTCTATATTGTCAATACCCAAAATATGACGTTCAATAAATAATTTCTCACAATGATAAATTAATGATCATCCTTAACAGTTGGACGTATTTGCTTCTTTTATTTTTATTTATTTTTTTATTTGGTGACTTTATTTAATTTGTTTTTATAGTTGACCTTTACGACTTTTATACTGTAATATTTTGTATTTAACAATTTTTGGTGATTAAGTTATAAATAGTACGGAGTAATTGAAAATATACATTGACAAGAAACAATTGCAATTAATCCGTAAAATTATTTAAAAATAGAAAAAGTATAGATACGTAATTAAGAAAATATTGGTTGTGACGGTAAGAAAGAAAGAGCGTGTGTGAATTGTGTGGTTTGATTAGAAAGGATAATTTCAAGCACTTATTAATTGTTCCCACAATCTCAGTGTTGTTAAGTTGCCGTTGGTCTCGGGTTTCGGGCCCACTGTTAATCGGTTTCGGGTTTCGGGTCCAGTGCTAATCGGTTTCGGGTTTCGGGCCCACTGTTAATCGGTTTAGATCACCAGACTTTCGGCGATACACTGAATCTGAACCTCACTGACTGCGAACTTATGTTGGGCCCCACTGGGTTCGTTCCAATGGGCTTGTGCATATTGGTCTTTACGCTTCACCGGTTCCCTTCGGTTGCTCTACTATACAAGAAAAGTTAGCCTTGATATTTGAGAACCGAATGAAAATTTGTATAAGAAGTGTTCACTTCTACTCCGATATTTTATGGTGTTTATCCGAAAGGTCACGATAGAGTTCACTTATCTCTTACCATATCATATTTTATAGTGTACTTTAAAATGTATTTTTCTTTGTTGATACTCTTCAAATCTTGATAGCAAGTGTAAAAGTATTTAGGTGGTTGGTTACTTGGTTGGGCTGACCATGGATCACCTTCTCAAATAAAACAAATCAAATACAAAGTAATTTTCCATTAATCTTTTTTACTGATTTAGCCCAATAATTCATCAATGTCTGGCCCATAAAATTTAAACCAGTGTTTATTCTAAGAAAATTGTGGTGTTATGTGGTCCTAATAAGGTAGTCTCATCAAGCCTATCCAGGTTTGATGAAATAGTATTATGGGCCCTGATATCGGACAAAAAGTGGCCCATACATCATTCATGGTTGAAGGTAGGCAAGGGCCAGCCATGTAATAATACCAGTACTCCTTTTGTACAATATCACTTTAGGAACTTAAATATTCAAGGGTGATTTGATAAAATGACTCGAATTTATGACCATTCACTTCGACTATATTGGTACTAATGTCTCGTTTTATAGGCGATAATAGTTAAAGGTGATAGACTAACAAATTAACATATACGAGTAATTTGTAATATATGTTACTTGGAATTTTAAAGGGTATCTGTCGTGGTGGTGGTTGTTGAGACAAATTTTAGTAAATTTAACCTCTAAAATTTTAACTAAAAGCCATTCAAATTCAATTGGAGAAATTTGTCGTAATATTTATTTATTTATTATAAAAACAGCCTAATGAGACGACTATTGATTTTAGATTATGTAATAAATAACTTCTTATAATGTTGAATTGTTGCATGAAAAATGATTGAAAGTTGGTTAGTCAACTTAGAGTGTTAGGCAAGAAAATTTCCCTTTTTATTCTTGCTCTGATTATTGATTAATGCCACGTCTATAACCATGAGAATCTTCTTTTTTCGGGTTTTATTTTGAAGAATGTCAAACATGCAGTGTCAAAACATACACCAAATAATTAAACTATAACATCATTCATTCGTTCTTTAAACTTTAAACATTTCGGCCTCCTGTCTCCTTATATTTAGGGTGTGTTTAATTCATCTGATTTTCATTTATTTTTATTTATCTTATTATATCTAAACTTATTATACCTAAAATAAATAAAAATAAATAAGATAAAGCAGAACAGACTCATAGTTTCTTAATAAACTGAACATCCATTTAAATATTAGGATGATGTATTTAAATTTATTATGGTCTTATGGACAACTCAACAAGATTTCAGTAATCTCATGTGATTTTGGATATATAATTAGAGATTGAACTAAGATTTTGGAAATATTATGAATACATAATAATCAAGTGATCAAACACAATTATTATGATTGCACGATTATTAAGGTTACACAAAAACAAATACTCTGTAGATCACATCCCTTCCCCTTTTTAAATTAGATCATAAAGCCTATTGATATACTTCCTCCGTATCTTTTTAGTTGACACGTTTCTTTAATCACGTTTGTTAATGCAGAAATTCAACCATTAATATCTTTAATTACCGAGAAACAAAAATTATGAAAAGTTGATATTTAGAAAATATATATCGTGACGAATCTAACAAGATTCCACATGACTATATTTTTCATTACGTATAAAGCACAAAACATAGTCAAAGACTCAAAGGAAATTGTGTGAATAGTGCTAAATTCAAAACGTGTCAACTAAAAACAACGACGATAGTAAATAATTGCTTTTCATTTTCCCTTAAATAGGCAAGGTCTCATATTCTTTTGTTATACTCACTTACAATTTGTGACATCTTCGATGCACAATTTTACAAATTGTGATTTTAATGATGTATGAATAATGTGAATAATGAAAATTGTATACACTGAAATAAATCTAAAATATCTCATGTGAAATTTTTTGTCCTGTATTAATTAACAAAATACGGTCAAATTTAATTTTGTTCAATTCAACTTAAATTTTCACAGACGGTGAGTGAATAAATAAAGAATAGAGGTAATATTATAAGTATTAGTCTCTTTGTCCTAATATATTTAGTTCCTATTTATATTTTTTCACGGTATTTAAGAAATGGAAGACAAAAGTGGATGAAGTACATAAAAAAAAAGAGTGAAATGTACAATTATAGATAAAAGTTAAAGAGCAGAAAGTAAATGAAGTACCTAAAAAATGTGAAAAGTACAATTATAGACTAAAGTTGAGAGAGAAAGTGGAAAAAAGGTACCAGGAAAGTGGAAAATTCAAGGGTAATTTAGGAATTACAATGAATAAAGTTAAAAAATGAGGATATAATGGTTTTCACATACTATCCAATAATAGAAACAGAAACAACATTTTGAGTGTCCAAAATAGAAAAACATGAACTATATTATAGGACGGATAAAAATTAAAATTTGTCCGCAATCCACGATACGCATAATTTCTTAGATCAGTTCTCACTTATGTATCTAAGTGCTTTAACCTGAGATGCTTTTAAGTGGTTGATAATCTAATCATGACCTTGACGTTTAATGTTCTTTCACAAATTTGAGTCAAAAACTCTATGACTAAAGTCCCATGGAATCATGATGGATTTTTCTTTCAATCTTTCAAACACTTTGATAATCGTAATTAACAGGTAAAAGTTACAAGTATATTAAATGATGAATATATAGATTTTTTATACTAATTATCCAAGCATAAGAACCTTCAACTTAACTTTTATTATTTGTCCCTTTTAATTATGAGACAACGAAGCACATAAATAAGTTCTAACAAGATTTTGTTATAGGTTAAACTTTAAAATTTAAGTCGTTTTAAGTTTGATTTTATTTTTTTTTTAATTTTTTTTTTTTTGGACGTAGTTTCAAGTTTGAGCTTAATGACTTAACATTCTTCAAGTAGGTATTGTATTAGAAGTATATACTAAAGTGCTTGTGTAGTTGTGTTAGTTTTGGGACCTAATAAAGTGTAATAACAACATTAAAAAAAGTTATGATTAAGTAACGTAAAACAAAGAAAAGACAAGGATGGTTTCAAAAAAAAAAAAAAAAGACAAGGGTCCACCCAGAAAATGATCACCTCCTCAACTCCTCTCTCAACTGCTCAACAGCAACAGTCTTCTCTATCATTTCCTCGACTCACCAAACACCCCCCTCTTATTTTTAACATAAACCCCCTCATTTTCAACAAACCCAAATTTAATTCAAATTTTATTCCACATTTCCTCTCAATTTTTTTCTCAATTTATTCTCACTCATATCTATTAATTACAAAAATGAGAGGCTCAAACTCAACCAATTATTCAAAAATTCTATCTCCAACAAAATTGAAGTTAACAATCTTTTGTTTCCTCTTCTTTTGCTTAGTTTTTCTAACTGTACGTTCATCTTTCTCTTCTTCATCAGATAACGCCACCAATCAGACCTTAATTTCGTATGTAAAATCCCAGAAATGCCCTTCCAGTTGTACCAAAATTCCACCATCAATATCCGACGCAATCATCCACTACGCAACATCCAACATAACTCCCCAACAAACCGCCAAAGAAATCTCCGTCACCGACCGCGTCCTCCGTCGCAAATCCCCGTCGAATTTCCTCGTGTTTGGCCTTGGCTACGATAGCCCAATGTGGGCCTCACTAAACCACGGGGGCAGAACCGTCTTTTTGGAGGAAAACGAGGGGTGGATCCGTCAAATCAAGGAGAAGTTCCCAACCCTCGAATCCTACCTCGCCACGTATGACACCAAAGTACGTCACTCCGATACACTACTGACGTCAGCAAAGGAGGCGGAGGAGTGTTCGAGTGTGGTCGATCCTAGGGAAAGCAAGTGTAACTTAGCATTGAAGGGTTTGCCAAAAGAAATATACGAAGTAGAGTGGGATTTGATTATGGTGGACGCGCCCACTGGGTACCACGATGAGGCTCCCGGTAGGATGAGCGCGATTTATACGGCGGGTTTGATGGGGAGGAATAGAGAAGAAGGTGAAACTGATGTGTTTGTTCATGATGTAGATCGTGTTGTAGAGGATAAATTCTCAATGGAGTTTTTGTGTCAAGGGTATATGGTAGAACAACAAGGGAGGTTAAGGCATTTTACTATTCCTAGTCATAAGGCTCGTATTGGTAGGCCTTTTTGCCCTCCTCCTAAACCAACTTCTGATTAGATTAATTATTTTTTCAGATTTTCTCTTTTTAATTAATAATTCTCTTATATACTATCCCTTAATAAATTCTCTTATACTCTATACTACTCTGTACTTCGTATGTGTTACGGAGTAATTGATTAGTTCGTTATATTGTTATGTGTTTTATTGGTCTAATTAAGCCTCAATCGTATATCATAAATTATAAATGAGGAAGACGAAATTTAAAAATATGCAATACACACATTAAGAGTTTCAAACAATTAATTCTCTTGTATAACTTTCTCTCTTTATAAAACTATATTGGTTTCAGCATCGGAGAGACCTTCCTCGGCACAACCCCCGAGGCCATTATACGTGTGTTTGTTGTGCAGAAAATCCTCATACCAATCATCACTTGGGTCGAGTCCAGTTTTCAACCCAGAGAAAATGTCTAGACGAAATATCCATTGTTTTCACCCCGAACACAATATAAAATAACTTTCAATAATAAATTCACTTTGTATTGTCAATAAATTTACTTTACTTTACTTTACTTACTAATGTATCAACATTTAGAGCTTCCGTCTAAATTTTAGGTAGAATTCTCCATCATTCTCGATCAACATCATTACACCGATTTCTAAGACCAATAAATTGTCATCAACATTGCAAGAACCTTTACTTTCAATTGAAAATTCTAATTGCACATTATTTTCAATTAAAAAAATCATTGCAATGATTTGCACTTGGAGCAGAAAAATTCGTCACAAAAAAAAAAAAAGAAATTTGATTGACAAAAAAACTAAATCATACGATTTGATTCAAAGCAAATGTAAGAACTTGATCTTGCAAAATTAATGAAAAAGGATCATAAACTTAAGATCTAAAACAACTGCAAATTAAGCAAAATCAACTGAAAAGATATATAAAAACTAGAGATAATAGTGTGATGGAATCCATAATTGAATTGGAGAGAAAAAGAGATAAGAACCATGAATGAAAGAGATGAAACACAGCCACGAATTTGTTAGAGAGAAAAAAAGATGAGGGAGTGGGAGAGAGAAAATTGCAGTAGAATTGTATATTGCACAATAAAACGGCAGCGTATAGATGGGGTGCATGTTAATAATTTGCGTACCCCAACCCTCAATTTTTTAGGTGGACCGGGCTATTAATGATCACCTCTAAACCAAACATATTTTGGATATAGATTATAGGCTATAGACTTGTTGAGAAAAACTCGAGTAAATCTCGAGGTACCTAAATAAAATTAAAGAAACAACCACCACTACTGCCCACCTCCGCTCAACAACCGCCTCCACCATTGCCAACCAACCGCCCCCACCACCCAACAACCACCCCCACCATTGTCCACCGTCACCCAAACGTCGAACGAGCTAAGGATGCCGCATCTCCACTAATGTCGCCAAATAATTTTTTTTTGCCGGAAATTGTTCCAACCGCTCTACAAAAGCGGTTTAACCACGGTCAAACCGCCCAAGGAAAATGGTTAGACCGTTGTCAAACCGCTTTTTTAGGGCGGTTTGACCATGGTCCAACCGTTTTTCCTGGGCGGTTGGAACACATTCCGGCGAACAAGAATTATTTGGCGACGGTGGTGGAGACGGTGCAATATATCACTACAAGAAATAGGTCGTTTTCCGACGGAATCGTTCCGACGGACTTAACTTCCTTCGGAAAATTCGAACTTTCCGACGGAATTTGGGTCTGTCAGAACAGTAAGTTGGAAAAGATAGGCTTGCGACGGAAAATCCCTCGAAAATATTCCAACGGATATTTTTTCCGTCGGAATTTACTGCTTCCGACGGAATATTCCCTCGGAAAATTCCTTCTGACGGAAAATTTCTGTCGGAAATAGTAAATTTCGAGGGAAAATAATCCGTCGGAACATATTAAGTTCCTACGGTTTTAAATTTCGTCGGAAACCGACGGAATTTATTTTTTCAGACGGATTTTCATTTAAAAAAAAAAAAAAACATACATAAAAAGACGGACCCCCTTTTTCCTCTCCTATTCATTTCTCTTTCCTCTCCTCTCCCCGCCTATCTTCTTCTTCTTCTCTAGCTTTCTCTCTCCTCTCTTCTCCTCTCTTCTGGAGATCTCCTCCCCTATTCCTTCCTTTTTTTTTTTTTTTTTTAAATAAAATTCCTCTAGTTCATTACAATTAATCCTACATTCGCTTTCTCTCTGTTCTCAAAATGGTCATTCGGCCTTTCTCGGTTTTTCGTTCCTCCTTTAGATCCGGCGTTTCGCGGCTGATGGTGTGGTGGTGTGAGGTGTCCAAGCAACAACGACTGGAGGTTTGAGCCCAAGCAACAACGACAAATCGATTACGGCATCTCGTTCCTCCTTTAGATCTAGTTTTTTTTTTTTTTTTTTTTTTTTTTTTTTTTTTTTTTTTATTAACAATTCAGATTATAATTAATTTTTGAGATAATTGTAATGTTATTTGATTAATTTCAGAAGATAATTGTATATTTATTTATTTTGTTTGATTTCAATTTTTTTTTTTCGTTTTTTCGATTTTTGGTTGTTTCGATTTGGGGGTTGTGATTTCGGTGGTAATGGGTTTTTGGGTAAGGGAATTGGTTATTGTTTTGGTTTTTGGTGGTTGTTTCGATCTGGGTTTATGTGGGATGGTTATAATTTCCGAAAAATGAAATTTCTGTGGGTGTGGTGGTGTGTGGGGGGTGGTGTTTCGATCTGGTTTTACGTGGTGGTGTGTGGGGGGTGATGTTTCGATCTGGGTTTACGTGGTGGTGTGTGGGGGTGGTGTTTTGGGGGGTGATGTTTCGATCTGGGTTTACGTGTGTGGTGGTGGGTGGGGGGTGGTTTGGGTGGGTGGTTGTCGTGGGGGGTGGTGCTGGGTGGGTCGTCTGGGTGGGTGTGTCGGGCTTTTTTTTTTATTTACCTTTTTGACAGAAAATTCCGTCGGAATATGACTTTTCCGACGGAAATTTCCGTCGGAACATCCCCAACTCCGACGGATTTTTCCGTCGGAACATCTCCCCTCCGACGGAAATTTCCGTCGGAACCTTGCGACGGAGTCCCCCTTAAAGTCAACAAAAGCGCCGACAGAACAAAATCCGTCGGAAAGGTCTCTTACGACGGAATTTCACGAAATTCCTACAAAAGGTCTTCCGACAACGCTTTCCGTCGGAAATGGCCATTTCCGACGGAATTTCAAGGTTTTACGACGGATTTTTCTGTCGTTGATTGACTGTTTTCTAGTAGTGATAGGTGGTAATGGGTGTGACGGTGGTGCTGACGGTGCAATAGGTGGTGACGGGTGGTGGTGGTTGTGTTAGGAGAGGGAGGAAGACAAAGGGTATAGTTGGAAATTCACTAAATATTATGGGCGATTGTGATAAATTTGCGGACGTCGTTTAACAACTCCCTTAAAAAAAGGGAAACAGTAGAAGCCGGGAAGAAGGAAAACGAAAAACAGAAAAACCCTAAGAGCAAGATTAGCCTTAAGTCCTAAGACTTAAGATGACATCATCATTTTTAAAGTTTTTGGTCTTAAGACCACTCTCAATGGTGAGCAAAAAAAATGCTCATCCACTCTCTCTCTATCCACTTTCTCTCTCAACAAATTAGTTTTGCTCATGGGCAAATTTTTTTCACATTTTCTCTCCCAATGGTGAGCAAAAAAAATGTCCACCCACCACTCTCTCTCTCTTACTTTTTCAATACCCCACCATTACTTTCTCTCTCCTACACAACACTTTAACATTTATTAATTTCATTTATATTTTAACAATATTACTCCAAATAAATAAAAACTAGTTTAAATTTGTGTAACTTATTTTTTTTATGTTTGTCTTTTTTATCGTTAAAATTTGCTCGTGAAATTAAGTACGTTATTATAAATAATTGTAAAAAAAAGCTCAAAATTTCTTAAATGTTTTTATTTATTTTAAAAGCGGTACAATACTAGAAACCAATTACGAAATTTAAGTGATTTAAAATGCTTAAGAAAATAAAAAAGTGGAGGATTTTAAGTGATTACGAAATTATATCAAAATATATCAAAATGTATGTCTATTTATAGAGAATTTAATTTTATAACCGTTGGTAATTTTTTATTTTTTTTACTAATTATATTTTTCAGAAAATGCTATAGAAGGATTATAACCGTTGTAAAACGGCTATTTTTTTCATTGGCCAACAGCCTGCAACAGAACACGTGTCGCACTCCCATTCGCTACAAGCCCTGACGCGCTACAGTGCACTAGTTTTTTTTTTTTTTTTTTAATTCTGGAGCTCAAAACGACGCGTTTTGAGGCGAGCCATTAAGGCTGCTAGCCCAAAACGCGTCGTTTTGAAGTGCTGGCAACCAACATTTTTTAAACAATTCAGCAACATGTGGGGCCCACTTCTAACACTATTCATCACCAAAAATGCCCAAGCTATGGGCATTTTTACATTTGCCCATGGGCTTTTTATCGGTTTTTTGGATTTGCTCACCATTGTGGATGATGAGCATTTTATTTGCTCACAAAATATGCTCATGGGCAAATATTTTGCTCACCATTGTAAGTGCTCTAAGACAAGACTTTGTTTTTTTTATGCATTTAAGAAGCCAAGTCTTAACAAAATCTGAAGTGGAGTCTTGAAAACTCAATACTCAACTTAAGACTCAACTCTACACTCTATACATAGTGTTTTTCCTATATATACCTCAAAACACTGTGTTTTGATAAAAAAAAAAAAAAAACCTTTTTTTGTTTTTTTAAATACATTAAAATCTATGTACATTTCTTCAAAAAAAAAATTGTATGTACGTATATTAAAAAATATCTATGTATGTTGTTTCACAAAAAAAATTATATGTACGTTGTTTTATAATTTTATATATATATATATATATATATATATATATATATATATATAATTGATTTCTTGATCTATTTTGCTATTATTTTTCAACTATGACATCTAAATTGGAAAAGAAATTTGTAACACCAATGTGAATATTCATATTAAAAATATATATGTATTTAAAAAAAAATATATTGAAATATATATGTTAAAGGAAAAAAAAATTAATAAAATTCTTATAAAAATCTAAAAATAAAGAGATAAATATAATTAAGTCTTGAGGAGTCTTAACATAATGAAAAATAAAAATAAAAAAATTTAATT